GCCCACTGTTTCTAAAAGTTACTTAAAAATATAATCCTGCCTGGCACACTTATTTAAAAACCAGATTCCTGAGCTTCAACAGATATACTGATCCAAAATTTCCATGGGAGGGCCCTGGTAATCTGTAGTTTACACATCCCCCCAGGTGAATCTTTTTATCAATTCTTACAAGAGAAAGTGAGAGGAGAGCCAGCTCTCAGGTGGGGAAACCTGTTTGGCAGTTTCCTATTAAATTAAACATACGCTTATATTGACCCCGAGAATGAATGTACCTGTTAAGAAGGGCTCCTGATAGCTCATTGGGCTCAAATTTAAAAACAAAGCCTGGCAGCTATTGCTAAACGGGGGCCTCTCACACAAGTTACACTCCTGAGAAAAGCCTGCACTGAACTGCCTGCCTGCACTGTAAGCCCACTGGCTGAGCCAATCCTTATAAAGGAGTTCCTGGAATTGTATTTCAACCAATGGGACTGAGACTTTCCTACTTTCCATAGTTCCATAGCTATAGAACTATGCTACTATAGCCTCACTAACATCTTCACTGACCAATCAGAGTGGGGATTTTGACCGATAATGCTTTTTGGGCCAATCAAACAATGATTTAGAGTTCTCATTTGCATGAGGACAGACCAATCATGGACTGGTGCCGGGACCTCTCTCTTTATAAGTCAGCTCCCCTCAAGTCCATGGAGTATGCTTTCAGTTCTGCTTTTTCTCAGCTGGAGCTATAACACTGGGACCACCTTGCCCTTGTGGTTCCACTACTGGGCTATATCAGAGCTGTGCTGTTCCACAGCCAACCTGTATCACAAGTGAGCTGTTTGCACTGAATAAAGTCTCCCCGCTTCACCATAATGGCCCAAACTGGAAGTATCCCAAATGGCCATCCATGGGAACATGGTAGAACAGTATATCCACACAACAGACTACCAGGCAGCAATGAAAAAGTATGAAGTACTGATACACAATACAAATGAATCTCACAGATCTACTGTGGAGTGAGAAAAGTCAGACACAGAATATGGATTCTATTTATATGAAGTTCAAGGACAGGCCAGGTTAATCTGTAATGATAGAGATCAAATAGTGTCTACCTCTGTGGGTGTGTGCCTATGTGTATGTGTATGTGTGTGTGCGTGGGGGGGTTTATAGCTTGACGTGAGAGTGGATACTAGTGTGTGCATGCATGTGTGCATGTGCATGTATGTGTGCATGTGTAAGTTCTCCCTCACAGGATGTCACTACCTAGGATAGCCATCAGGTACACAGAGCAGAGCCTACCTGCATTTGGATCCCACTTAGGAGGCCTATGAGTGCTTGCTTCTTTGTTTATTGTTCCTTTGAGATGTACATTATACACTGAGATGTATACATACAATCAAGTGAGCATATCTCAAGTGTACAGCCCAGTGAATGCTTACATGTTTACACTGAGTATTTGTCCTCATGCGTAGTGCTGTTTTAGGTCCCTGGAAATGGAACCCAAAGCTATAAGACACAGACCCTGTAAGACACAGACCCTATTTATGTGGGTTTTATAATCTGAGGTGGGAGACATGACAATAAAGGACAGAATGGTAAGTTTTCATTTATTCACTTGTTGTGTGCTTTTTGAACACCTTCCTTGTGCCAGGCACTGAACAAGGCACTGGACCTGCAGCAGGAACCTGGATCCAGCACTGCCCTCATGGTGCTTATATAATCTAGTTAAGTTTGGAGAGCAGCGCAGTGAAAGGTCAAATATGACTATTCCGCCTCCCAAATATTTCCCAAATTCATTCCCTTCTCCCACTGACCCTGACCTTATTTCAGGTTCCCACCTTCTCTACTCTCTGGGCTATTGTAGTAGTTTCCTGATTTATCATGTTTCCAGTCTTCTGCCTCTGATTCATTTTGCCTCCAAAACAACAGCCCTTATTTTTATCTAAAAAATCAGTTAATGGTTCCCCATTGCCCAGGCAACTCTGGTGTCAGCCTGTGCGGACTTGAATCCTCACTTAGAGGGTCTATGTTTTGACCACAGGCAAGTTCTTTAAATGCCCTGAGCCTCATGTGTGCTTTCTGTAAAATGGAGATAAAAAATCATTACGATGATAATAAACAATACTTAACTCCCTAAGAGGCTGAGCTCTAATCTGTCATATACGTATTCGTATAGCATATGCTAAACCTCCACAAGCACCATCTATTTAATCCTCTCAATCACTCCCATTGCGTGTTACCCCCATCTCTCTGCACTACCCAGTAATATCAAGGTCCTTGTATTCATGGGCACACCCTTTACTTTCAAGGCCCTGAGCCTCTCCCCTGAGCTCCTTCTGTCTGAAATGCCTTTCTGCTACCTCTCCTGGCTGGGTCTTACTCAGCTCAGGACTCAGCTCAGGCACTGCCTCCTCCCAGGAGCCATCCCTGAGGCTGCATATGCAGCTGGGTGCCCTTATCTGAATCCCACACCACCTCGGATTGAATTTATCTGTCTGCCTCCTGTTTCTATCTGTCTCCACTTGCTCCAGTGTGAGCTCCTTCTGGGCAGGCTTGAATCAAATGCTCTGTAAACCCCAGTTGTGGACCCTCCTGTATAGGGCAGGTGCTGGATGTGTCCACCGACTTGAGCAGGACTGTCAAGCAATTTCCTAAGGGAAGTGCCCATGGAGTTGGCCTTGGGCATGGGTAAGGAGGGCTTTTAAAAATTATTTTAAAACAAGTTGTGCATGCAACAGTACCAAATCCAAAGGGAACAAAAGGGCTTACAGTGAAAATTAAAAGTAGGTCACCTCTCAACCACCCAGCTCCCCTCCCCAGAGGCCACCATTGGTATCAGTGTCTGGATATTCTATGCAGTCAAGAATTGTCTGTCTTCCTCGCTACACACACACACTTTTTCATTTTGCAAAAATTTAAACCAACAGAAAAATTGCAATAGTACAATAAACACCCTTTGCCTGGATTTACAAATTAACATTTTGCCACATTGTACTAGATATTTTACAAGCATTGTATCATGTAATCCTCACATGCCAATTGTGTAGATGAGGTAACTGAGGTAGCAGGCAGGTGAAGAGACTTACCCCAATGCCTCAGAGCTAGCAAGGCCTAGAGCTGGACTTTTTCTTCCTCAGGCTGCCCAGGACTTTGACCCATCTTCCTTCAGCTCCCTTTGGAGGAAAGCATTTTCTTACCCTAAGTTGAAATCCACCTCCCTGGGATATTCACCAGATGATCAGTGGAAAAGTAAACAGCTCTGGAAGCATTTGCTTCTTCTCCTAGAACCTTCCCATTTCCTAAGCAACAGCTGCTGTCGCTGCCTCTAACACATGCTTTAATGTCACCTCTTCTGTGAGGGCTGAGTTAGCTCACTCCTTTGTTTAAAGTTATTGACTCCTGGTTGCAAGCAGGATGACATTTACGTGCCTGAGCTGGGAATCCGAGGCCCTGGGAGATGTGGCCCTATGAATCTTCATCCCTCCTGCTCCTTCCTCCCCTACCTCTACCTCCAGCTCCAGCAGCTCTCTACCTCTAACCATCTGCTTCAATTTCCCCACCCACCTCCTTGAAGCCCACCCTCTTTTCCCAAAGAGTGCATTCCCCCCTCTCTGGGCTCCTGAATCTTCTGCCTGTGCCTCCTTTACATTCTTCTCCAGGTGGCCTTTGGGCCAGGAGACTGGACAGTGGAGGACTGGAGTGACAGACAGCTCGGCTCTTCTTAGGCGAGCACCCTGCACAAATTAATTCGGGCATCTGAGCCTTAATTTCCTCAAGCACATAATGGGGGAAAGAATGCCTAGCTGTGTCTGGCATAGAGTCAGCCTTCACTAATCTCTCATAATAGAGCTGACAGCTCTTCCAGACTGATATCTTCTCTTGGTCATCCCTTGAAACCCTACCTCCCCTTTCTCAATTTCTCTGAGCCTCAGTTTCCTCATGTGTAAAATGAGGATGATAATGGAGAGGCTGTGAAACTTTAATGAAGTAATGAATATCAAGCACTTGGAACAGTATCTAGCCTTTATTAATAATTTTGACTATGATTTCTACGATGGGAGATGGCATATAGTAGGTGTTAAATTAATCCGCTCCAGGCTAGGCTGGGCGTCCAGATGGACGCGGGAAAACGAGGTTGGAAGTGAGAGGTTTGCAGAGAGCCTGCCGGGAGGTCTGCTCCGCCCCTTCTCCCGCAGGTCCCCGCCCCCGCCCCCGCCCGAGCCCGGGCGGCTGTCAGGACCCGGCTGGCCTCCGCGCCAGTCCACCAAACCTGAATGTCCCATCCTGGAGCCTCCACCTTCTTTCGCCTACGCAAGTTACCTTACGCCCGGGTACTCTTTGTTCCCGCCCCCGGTTTCCATTGGTCGACGGGTTTCTTTGTTAGCTGGAGCGCGCTGCTGCCATTGGTAAGCAGGGCCGCCGATCGCTCTTGGGGCGCGGCTCCGCCCCGCGCACTGCCCCTCTCGCTCCCTCCTCCGGCGCACCCGTCCGGGCATCCGCCCGCCCGCCCCTTCCCGGGAGTGCGCGAGGCCCTCGGCTACCATTTGCTGCAGCCGCGGGGCGCCGAGGGCAGCGGCGGCGGGGACCGACTGCGACCCGCAGCGACCCGGCGCCTGAGGGGCGGGTCCGAGCGCGGGGAGGCAGCGGGCCCGGGAGGCCGCGTCCATGGGCCCGCGGTGGCCGGGTGGCGGCTGTGCGGGCAGGCGGCAGGGACCGTGCGCTCTGTGAGGGCCCGGGGCCGGGGCCCGGCGCGGAGGTGCCTGGGCGCGCCGTGCAGCGCAGCGCCGTCGTGCGAGGGAGGCCCGGTCCGCATCCCGGCGTCCGCGAGGCCGCCTTCACCGCCGGGGGAGCGCTCCGGCCTGCGTCCACGGCCCGGCTGTGAGGCGGCGGCCGACGGGGGCATGCCGTGGCGCCCGCGCTGACCCCTGCCTGAGCCTCCCAAGCCCGCCGTGCATGGTGCCGCCGCCCCGCCAGCCGCTGTCCGCCGCTCAGCGCGCGCCGGGCCAGGCTGCTGGGCCTCGCCGCCGCCCCGCCGATCATGTCGGCGGCCAAGGAGAACCCGTGCAGGAAATTCCAGGCCAACATCTTCAACAAGAGCAAGTGTCAGAACTGCTTTAAACCCCGCGAGTCTCATCTGCTCAACGACGAGGACTTGACGCAGGTGAGCGGGTGGGGGTGTCCTAGGGGCGCTCCGGAGACGGCGACCCGGGCCCCGCGCAGCGCAGCCGCCGACCCCAGCGTCCCCATTGGGCTGAAAGTTCCCCGGCCCTCGGACGCCCCTCTAGGTGTTGCAAGGAGTCGGCCGAGGCGAGCGAGTGCCTCGCAGGGGGTGCCGGGTGCCTCCCCCCAGTTCTGACGCGCGTGAGACTACAGTCCTGCTGTGTGGAAAAGAGAGCGAACGTTGCCCAGTTCCCGAGGCGGGAGGGGGTGGGGTTGCATCTGAAGGCTTCTGGGCAAAATAAAAAGGACAGAAAAATTGTGCGTGAGGTCTTAGGGGAGGGAAGTGTATTGATAGACCCGCGACAAAGGGAAAATTCCCAAGTATGCCGAAAAATAACATCCTTTCCCGTTCCCATGGCCTTGTCGTGTGATTCATGCTTTTTGGGTGACTCAAAAACGCCTGGATTTTCTTAGTAGGGACAAAGCGCTTAGGGATTTCTTGCTGCTTCTCAGGACCCCACTCCAGTCTGTCTTAGGATCTGACTTAGACTTGTCCACTCAGAATGGCCAAGGGAGTAAGACTGGCTGGGTGGGCTGTGGGCTTCCCAGCCTGCCCTTTTTCTAAATCATTGTCACTGTCAGTGACTGGAGGGAGGTGAGGGGTCCTGAAGCCTGGGGAAGAGGGTCTCGCTGGTAAACTTAAACTGGAGGGCCTTTCGTTGATGTGAGAGCTGGGGGCTCTCCGCACACTTCCCACCCAGCTCCAGTCACTTGGCAAGGAATGAGGAGACCTGTGAGTCCTGGGGAAAGTTGGTTCCCTTCTCCTGCCTTATCTGTCAGATGAGGGTTTTAGGATAGTCTAGCTTCTCCCAAATCTGCATCAGAGTTACGGTGATTTAGGAGGTGAGGGAATTTGTATTGGTAACATCAGCTTCCTAAGAAGTTGGGCTGCAGTCCCCACTGGCCTTTGGGAACCTTTCACTGGTTGCTCTCTGAGCTCTTGGATTCTCTGGAGCCCTGGGAGGGCTTTTGGGACATGCAAATTCCTTGGATTTCCTGACCCAGCCTTGTGTACATCCCTTTGGGATGTGTCTGTGGCCCCTCCTTGCCCTCTCCCCTGGTCTTAGTCCTCTTCAGAGCTCTCTGTCATCCCCCTGAGCAGGCCAGGGGAGCTCCCTTCACATTCCAGTGCTGGGTGACCTAGTTGTAGCCACTCCTTTTTCAGAAGAACCCCTTAGAATTGAAAACATTGCTTTGAAGTGTACTGGCCTGGCTGTTTTTAATGCTACTCAAGTGCTCACAGGGTTTGACTTGTTTACATGACAGACAAGGGAGTGGTGTGGCAGGGCAGGGGTTATGGCCTGGGACACGGTTCCTTCTTCTGAGGTCAGGTTCCCAACAGCCAGGAAAAGACTCCTTTCATCTAAGACCAAAAACTTAACCAAACACTCAAGGCTGCAGAGTCATAGTGGCTAGGGCAGCTTGGAAAGGGTAGAACTCAGTTTCCTGGTAAGGTGTTCTGGGGTGTGGGGTGGGCTTTTAGGGGAGATTCCCTCTTCTCTCCTGGATGCCTTTTTCTGGGAAGCAGTTTATGTGGCGATGAGGGTCCTGGACCAGGAGGAGTCAGGAGACCTTGCTTCTAGTGTTGGCTGTCACTTTCAGCTGCGTGACCTTGAACAAGTACCTTTGCCTCTGTATAGATTCATTTCCTTTTCTATAAGTTAGGGGTAGGGATTCCTGGCTTACCTCCTTCACCAGGCTGTTGTGAAAAGCAAAGAATAATAACTTATTAGACTTTTTTCCCTTACAATTAAAAACAAACAGAAAACACCGACAGAATAGTAAACTTGGATTTAGGAAATTCCTGAGCTTGGCAAGTGTTCTGAGAAAGTTTCCTGGTTATTCCAGGCAACTGCCAAAATTTCTAAATTGAGTACTTACACCTCATAGGGCCTGTTTTCTGATTCTTAAGCTTAGACAAATTAGAATAGAATCTGCGTATTTGAGTTGAATCTGTTCAAAATTTTTATCTAAAAATATTTGAAACTTGTTGATTATTGAGTTAAAGAAGTGGGGTTGCAAGTTTAAAGCGCTTTCCCCTTTCACTGTATTGACAGTTGAATTGTGGGTTTTGAAACAGGCCTGAGTCCTCCAGGGCACAATTGGAATGGTAGTTTCTGAAATACTGAGTGAGGTTATTTGTATTGGGAGAGATGAGGCCAGCCTTCTACCTCCTGGGATCTTTCAGGAAGAAACTGCTCTTGAAAAGAGAAGGAGGAAAGCTCAGGGCTGTTGCCAACAGCCTTAGCTGCTGCTCTTTGCGTCCCGCCCTCCCCCAGCCCTACTCTCATCTTCATGGCTCCTTTAGAAAACCTCAACCAATCGGTTTCCATCAGTCTCCCCCAAGTCCCTGCTTCCTGCTGCGCTTCCCAGCCCTGAGCTTATTTTAGACCTTCCAGGCTGGAAGATAGATCAGTGATTACTGAGGCCACCCTTCTTTAAGAGGTTAGGACGCTAGCATTAGTGAGGCAGTGAGACTGGCTTTTGCCCTGGGATGTTATTGTTCCAGAGGCAGACATTTCTCTGAGCCTTCTGATGTGAGCTCATTTCCTCAGCTGTGGGCTTTGTTTTTAACCCTAGAGAGGTACGGAAAACTTGCAGGGACTACATTGTAGCATCAGATCTGGAAGGGACTTAATATTAGCTAAACTACTTTCACCCATGAGAAGACCAGACCCCGGAGAAGGGAGTAGCTTGCCCAGTGCAGGGACATGGGATTCTTCATCCACTGCTCTTTACTCAGATTAAGGGTCTACAGTGGCCATCCCATAAGCAAGGCTGATTATGTTGGAGAAGGTGCCTTGGAGGGCAGGCTTTGGATGTCCCACCAGGGACCTTGAGATTGCTGGCTGGGAGCAGAGGAGTTCCTTACTATGTCCTCGTCCTGGAACTCAGAATGATCCAGGATAGGGAATAAGCGATACTTCTTTATTACTTGTCATGCCACCCTCTAGTCCCAGCCCTGGCTCACAGGGTAACGTCTATCCTTCAGTACTTCTCCTGTGCATTTTTCTACACACATATGGACTCAAATACACAGTTAAAACCTTTTTTAACCTAAACTGTATGTACATATTTACAACATCTTTTTTCCTGGTTAGTAACATGTCCTACAGCCCTTTTCATGGTATTATATATAAATATACCAAAATCGTTTTGTATAGTGTGCCATCAGAGATGTACCATAGTTGACCATTCCATTGTTGATTGACAGCAGGGTAACTTCTGGGTTTTGCTGTTATAAACAGTAAATGCTTCAGCGAACAGCTTCCTAAATGCTATTGGGTGTTTATGTGCCTGCACGAATGCAAGTATTTCTCTGGGGGGCAAATAGCTAAAAAAGAATAACAGGTTGACATCAAGTGCATTAAACTTTTTTACAGCAATCACCAAATTGCCTTCCTAAAATGGCTGTGTCATATTATTGCCAGGATTGGATAGTATCAAATGATACAATTCTTTAATAATTTCCCTAGTTACATGAAGGTAAGCCTCTTTTTGTAATATTTGTTGAATATTTTTTTTATTTTGTGGCTTGCCAGTTCTTATTATCCGCTCATTTTTTATTGGGTTAACTTACCTACCCCTCTTGCCCCGTTCCTCTGTGGATTTGTAGGAGCCTTCCATATATACTCTAGATCAGGGGTCCACACATTGTTTCCATAAAAGGCCAGATGGTAAATATTTTAGCCTTGTAGGCCATATGACCTTTGTGGTCACGATGCCCATATGACCTTTGTGGTCACGATGCAGCTTTGCTGTTACAGTGCAAAAGCTGCTTTGTATAGCTGCCGTAGACAATACGTAAACTAATGGGACATGACTTTCCAATAAAACTTTATTTACAAGGGCAGGCAGCTGTCAGAGTTTTGCCTGGGAGCCACAGTTTGCTGACTCTTGTTCTGGATATTAATCTGACACCTGTCATATATTGAAGGTATTTTCTCCCACAGTGTCACTTGTCTTTCAATTTTATGTGTGGTTATTTCTCTTTATCATATAGTATTAAGTTAAATCTCCATGTTTTTCTTTATAGTTTTCTAGTTTTAATCTCATGCTTATGAAGGTCTTCTTTCCAAGATTATGAAATAGTCTCTCATATTTGTTCAGTTCTTTTATAGTTATTTTTACACTGAATTTCTTCATCAGATTTGTGTTTTAGGAAAATAATCTGGCTAAAGGCAGAAGCTCTAATAGAGAATCTTGAAGTACTCCAGGTAAATTACAGTGAAGGTCTTCACCAGTCAGTGTAGGCCCAGAGGGAAGGTGTCATTAGACACTAGGGACAGGATATTGGCAGAGATTTGGGGGATGGGGAGGAGTCAGAAATAATATGGTACCTTTGAACTTGTGGAGGTCCGCTGTGGTCCCACTTAGGCAGTAGGTGGTCAGAGCTGGAGGAGAGGTGAGGGCCAGGGGACGAATTCTCAGGTCACAAGAATGAATGCAGTTACTTGGGAGGCTGTGTAGACTAAACTGAGAAGAGGGGGAGCAGGTGGCAATGGGAGGTGCATTGGAGGAGTTGGTGGTTAGTGGTAGCAGCAGGCCTGGAACTCAGGGTTCTTGCCTTCCAAGTCCTCATTCCAGCTTCAGTGTGGGTTTCCGGGGCTCTTGGTGGGTAGTAACCTGATGTTATATCTCATTCTTCTGTCAACTTGTGCGACTTTAGGCATCACCTTTTATCACTGCATCCGGACTTGAGTCATGCTACTCTTTTGTTGTGGGACTTTAGCTGGGTTGTTTTCTTTCCTCAGGCCTCGATTTTCCCAGTTGGAGAATGAAGAGGTTGGTTTTGATCCGTCCCAGGGCTCTTCCTGTCCTCCTGTGTCTCCTCTCAGATCTCTGGGTCTAATACTGCCCCTCGTGGTGCCTATACCCCACTGCCAGGGCTGCTGGGACCTTAGGGTAGGAACCCCTAACATAGAGGTGGGCAGGACAGGA